CGACATCATTATAGAATTACCTAGCAATTAATGACACTGCGTTATGAGAGTAAATGTCTTTGTCCAACATAAAACGTGGACGTATTGTGGCGACACTTAGTCTTGCTTTACGATTTTTTATGACTTGATGGACGTTACGATCGAGTATAATAATGTCTTACAGATTCAAACTGTCCTTGTCGATCTCTACTTTGTGGTATGTTTTCCGATCCGATCAACTGAATCCTTTATTAAACACAAAGCGTTGCATCACCTCTCCCGAAAGCGTTTGTGATACAGTCTTGTCAGATTGTTACATTTCTTACGTGAAAGTTTGACTTTGCAATGATCTGATCGTATTATTGACATTGTAACATTGTTGATCCCTTTGGTCGTGCAGGGAAAAATTTGCAATTAGCGAAAATAAAAGTAAAACTCGCTTTTGAAGAGAATACAGTAAAGAGGTATCATGGAAACCAAACTTTGGTTCCGAATGAGACAGTTTTAAATCAAGCTGTTGAAATTGTGTGCACATCTGATTTGTACACTGACTGTGTAGTATTGAACCAAGCGCGGAAATGAAACGAAGGACGTTTACCGAGTTACAGTTGGGATATAACAAAAACCTAACTTAAATACGTATAATAGCTAGTTTGTATACGTCTTATTTTTATTTGTAGTAACCAGTACACAGTCATTACTGTCAATAATGCATCACAACTGACCATCGCCTACGCCCATAAACGTTCACGAGTGTAAGGGAGAACGACGAACCGTACCATTCGTCGTTTTCGCTTACATCGCAAGGCTCACCTGCGGGTGCGCAGTGTAAGGGAGAACGACGAATGTCGAATAACTTGGCTACTTTTTAACCTAAACCATTCAAACTATAGAAACTGCTTTAAGAACATCTCAATCAGATATCTGGTGAATTACAGCTTAAAAGAGTGAAAAATAAAAGAGTTATAAAGTGAAAACAGTTTTTGCCTCTACTGAAAAATTTGCTTCGCTACCTGCGCAGGACCATTCGTTGTTTTCCCTTACGACGGCAGAAAGTATGGGTCTATCTTATGACTGTAGAGCAAGGAAACATTAAAGGATGATTAAAAAGATGATTTCCTTACCAACTTGTGAGACTAATTTTGTTACGGTGACATTTCTTAATTTGATGTTGTCAAGACTGTTAAGCTTCTCATTTATAAGGAAATCTGGAGGTAAATCAGGCCCTATGAGACAGTAAAGGGGATAAGCAGCATTGGTACAAAACATTAAAATCATCTCGCATGAGTGTTTACCCGGCCGCTGATTGATTGCAATTTCTTTTTAAGCTTCTTTCGACACAATTTAGATCCATTTAGGACTGAGGGCTGCTTTAGTGGGGTGCAGCATCATAGTAGACAGATAGAAACACTCGATAAAATAACTGTCTCCGAGGGAATCGAACTACAGTCTTCTGCATGAGCAAACAGCATTAACATTACACCACACACTGGTTGTACAGCTTAATTAAGTCCCTCTGCAAATGAAATCACAATTATGAATCATAGACAGCAAATTTACATATACACAATATCACATTAAATATTTATTCTTTCTAATACCAGATCCCCAGCATAAAACCATCTCATAAAAGAATGAAAAACAAGTACAGTGGGAAGTAGATGGGTGCATAGAATATGTAGTACATCTGTTTGTAAACAATACAACTGATATGTAGTTCTTGCACAGATTTTTACAGCAAAGTTTGTAGAAAATATCTTTTTGTACAAATAGGCAGATGTCAAATGTTTTTCTTTCAAGAAAGTAAGTACAAATAGGTGAAAAAAAAATAGATTAATAAATAAGAGTCCTTCATATTAAAATTTCAGGACTTTCATTCGGTGTGCAGCGCCTTAAGTTTGATTCTTCCTCAACAGCAAGTGTGATCAGTAGCCACACTGATTGTCTTTTTGTGTATGTGTTCTTTGTCAGATTACAAGGGTACAGAATTGATTTGACAAAAATGTTGTACATGAATGGGAAATAGGAATCAGTAGGAATGAAACGTCAATTTAAATCTTATCATATTGTGGAGCACCTGGAGCCACAGGAAGTGTGCACTATTGAGGTGATCTATATAATTATTATGATTAAGTGACCAAAATTTAAAAAAAAAAAATCAATTGCCTTCAGGCCATATCACAGAAGAAACTTAGTAGCAAAAAAATATATCAGGAAAATACATAAATAACAATCAAAGAGCAAATTAAACATTTTTGTATAATTGAGCATCACAATTCCTTCAACAAAAGGAAATCTACTTGCAATATATTACTGTAAAACCTTTCAAATTTTGTAAAACAGAAAATAAAGGCTACTAAAAATGCATGAAATGTGTAAATGCAAGGCCAAGTATTCCATTGCTATACAAAACTGAACAAGGAGAAGCTCAAGTAAAAAATAAGGCATCATATTCATTGCTCTCACAAGGAAAATGCTTAACTTTGTTTGACCCTGATGTACAGGATGAACAAACACAGATTCAGAGACAGTCAGGAATGGATAACTGAAATATGTCGCGGATGAAAATTTCGCTACCTCAGAATTACAAGACTTCAAATATTCTTACCATTTTGATAGAGCAGATAGAGCATATTGCTTTTTGACCTCAGGGTCTTTTTAACTGAAAACCGCCAAAAAAGTTAGAAAGAAATTTGTAATTCTGAGGTAAAAAAATGTGTTTGATCCATCCATGAGTCAGGTTAACCATTAACGAAAAATTAACGAGAGAGCAGTCGGTGACTAGCAAATTGTACAAGCTATCTGTGATTTTGATTTTTGCGTGTTTGTATTACCTGTGCCAAACTGTACTCATTTCTTTCAAGACACTTACCAATTATAAAATCATTTCTATAGAAAATGCATTATTTTCCATAAGAAAGAAACATTAGGAAATAAGGTGAAAAGGCCCCAAAAAAGATCTCCATGGCCAAATGGCACCACAAGAAACCAACACCTGTCACAAAACTTTCCATCAAAGCTACATAAGTGAATTAAGGAAAAGGCAAATGGAGTACAATGCCAGCAAATACGTCTTGACATTGCTCTTAAAAATAATTGACCGAGAGAGATGCTAATACGTTATGCCCCTAATGACACATTTTAAACCATTTAGGAGGCAGGCTGCTTCAATCCTACCTAGCTGTCAAGCCCATCCCAAACTGAGTTGTCCTCAGTGTCCCAGCAAACAGACAGAGCTCCTAAAAAAAAATAACTTCCCAAAGCGGGAATTGAACTTACTTCTTCTGAGTGCAACAGCAAAGAGCCCTACCATTTACACCACAGATGCCGGTCTCTTGGAAATGGGTAAAGATCGTGCTGGCTTACTTTTCAGAGAACAAAATGATGTTGTAAACAGACTACAGACAGATTTCATGATTGAATGGTGATATCAACCAACATTAAAAGAGAAAAATGTTTTTAAGCACACACAAAAAAATCTACATATTTGGGATGGAGTATTCTTATAAGTGTTCTCAAGCAATGGGGCTGTAGGTAGTTATTTGTACAAAACTATAACGTTTCCAGTAACTGGTCTTTTTTCCTTGAAAGGCCATAGTGTCTTAGGAAACTGCAGATTTACTTTTTGTCTTTGATTTACATTTTTTCAGGAAACACGATGCAAAAAAAGCATTTCTAAATAAAAGATGCTGAGCCCAAATAAGAAAAATTGATGAAATTTTCCCAACGGGCGGAAAATGCCATTTTCTTAAATTTCATTATTTTGACGAGCGTTTGATTTCACCACGCTGCCTCACACAATATGGTAAATACAATGTACAAAGACATAAACTTTTACATACACCCAACAAATATCAATACATCATGTGACTAAATCCTTGAAGGCTTTGGTTGCCCGAGCCAGATGAAGAAGAGATGTGAGGCAAAGTTTCTTTTCCAGACATTGGTAGAAATACTCTGGAGCCTGGATGGTAAGGGTGGGGAAGGGAAGGGTGGTCGGAGACAATTGAACAATAAGATAAGGTATGACAAGAAAAGACAAGGTAAGAAGAATTACATACGATGAGCTATGTCTATTAGTTATAATGAATTAAGATTGAGGGGATACAATTCAATAAGTTAAGACAAGTTAGGTTACAACAAATTACCGTTGACTGTATACATACAATCACTCAAACAATTAAAGACAATTTACAATACAATTACATTGACTTGGATCTAATCAGATGCATAGAGACAAGTTATGGTAAGATAATTAACATTGATTGATACAAAAAGATATATAAAGACAAATAAAGTACAGTTGTTTCATATGTTTTATGATCATAGGAGGGGATTTTGTGAAATATTGATAAACAGTACTTAAGAAAATATTCCTAGGTTTCTTTTTTCAGAACTCCTTTTTTCGCAAGTCATCCAGGATGCGACGATACAGGGCACGTGAAAGTATGGTAATCATATGTCTAACTACCCTTTCAAACAGTGTTAGGTAATTTCAGATGTGAGACCAGTTAATTTGATCTCCAACAGCAAAAAGGAAAATTGCTTTGAAAACTCAAGAAGCAACCCAAGTTTAGACTTATCATAACAATTTGGCCTATAAAGATCAAAATATAATTTTGTAAGTGAGTGAGAACTTACCTCATACTTGAGATTGTGAAGAAAGATGATCTCTTCACCAGAGAGATGGATAAGGGAAGATCTGAAACAGATGTATAGTATGCCAAGTACTCTTTAATAAATTATGCTTTTCTAAATATTCAAAAAATGAAAATTGAGTGCAAGAAATTCTCAAGACCAATTTTAGCACAACGGGAAGAATTTCTTACTATACGTTCTAAAAGTAATTTTGTTTGCTATGGTAAAGGAAACGAAAACAGTTATAAAAACAATACCTACTATTCTATAGTGGAATGGAAGAAACGGTGCTCTCTGTTACAGAATTGTTTTTGGATAATGTTTATTTTAACAATAAGGAGTATGAAAAATCTCTTTAAAAATCCCTGAATATTGCGGGATCTTTACTGAAGATGAAGATTTTAAAACACTTTAAAACACTGTGGTGTCCTAGGTGAAAGTCAGTAATTAGAGTACAGTTGAGCACAGATAGCTCAAAACAAATCTCGGATTGACTAATGTGTTTGACACATCCATAATCCCGGTAAAGAAATGTAATCCAATATTATAGAGGTATCAGTAGGGGAATGGGAAATTGTATGAGCCATCTGTGATTTCCCATTTTCTGTGTTTGAGTTAGATATGCCCAACTGTACACAGTTTTAATGAGTTCAGTAAGAGAACCTAAGTCTTGTCACTGCTGAACAGATTAGTACATCAACAAAATTGCTGGATCAATCATATCATTCAGCATAGACAAATCTGTGGTATTATGGTTGGGCCATGGATGCAGAAGAGGGGAGTTTAATTCCTGAGTGACGATCAGGGCCATCCCAAAAAAACAACTCAACAACTTTTTCGGTAAATATTTTCCTCCACACTGAAGTTTTTCGTTTCAAACTTGTACACAATATTTGGAAGTCAAGAGGAATTTGTCTGATATTCATTTTAGATAAATCCACAGAAAAGTTTAGCACTACGTAGTGTGTAAAAAAACCCAACCCATTTTCAGCTAAGTCCCCACTTTTGTAGCATGATGCACAAGTTCGCATCAGGCTTACCATTAAAAGTCCCAGCGATAGCGTCATATTGCAAACTACAGTAGTATAACAGGCCAACAGAAGTTTGCAGATTGTTTTTCTCAAGTTTCCTTTGCCTGCTGAGATCACGGTTAAGATTAGTAAAGAGAGAGCTTTTGTATTGAACATTTTCTCACCACCAACTCATTTCGTAAGTTTTGCACAAGGTGTTAAGTGCCCTTAAGGCCTTCTTTGATGTCAAGGGTGGAAATAATCCATTGTTAGGATTTGCAGAGAATCAAAACTAAAAATTTCTAGACAAAATGACCACTTCAGGTTAAACACACACCGTTCGCACCCCTTTAAACGTCACCAGAATTCAGTAGATGAGCCCCATGAGACATCTGTCCTTAGACATCTTCATCTATGACGGTACCATTTTCCTGCTCACAATGTTGATATGGATCAGAGGATAGCAATGTGTTTGACGTTCATGATTCCTTGATCGTCTTGAAAAGCATGAACATTTCCCCTATGGCATTTTGTTCCTTGGCAAAGCCCCCCCCAAATGCTGGCTATTGGGCAACACCTCCTCCCTATTATCTCTAGAAATAACTCCAACGATAAAGTGTACAGTGTGTGGCTTTGAGTACTCATGGTAGGGTAGATCTTTGTGTTTGGCCACGACTGAATATTACGAATGAAGCGTGAAAAGGTGTCGAGTCCAAAGGAGGACAGATAGAGCACTGAATTATTAAAATTATAAAACTCTGTAAGAGAAAAGAAATATTGTTCAATTGTTACAGGGAAGGAAAGATTAGATTTTACAAAGAAAAAGGAAGGGAAAAAAACAACAAACCAATCATTTCATGACTTTTCTTACAAGATCTTTTAAATTGGTGCACTTTGTGTTTATAGGTGGTTTTTATAAAAGCCATTTCCATTTTCGAAAACAAGTTTCTTCTTTATGAATTTTATGTCAAACATTCCTTTTGAATATAATTATATCTGTTCCAATTTACAACATTCTAGTACAAATTTTGTGCAAGATATTCATTTTAAAAAGTTGTAAAGTTTTAATGGATCACCCTGTATTTTTTGTGAGAATCTCAGTTTGTCTGCGGGAATGCTGTATCTTCCTCAGCCCAGGTTGGACCTGACAAGCAACGTTGAAGCATCCCGTCTCCTAAATGACCTAAGTAGTACTGACAGAGGTGTCAGACATTTTACAACTATAACAATGAATTATATTCAGAGACCAGTCTCGTTTAGAAATGTTTCCAGGTCGACGTGCTTAAAGACTTACCTTTCCATCTCATGTGGTTTCAGCCATTTCTCTATGTCTGACTTTTCCCATTTCATGATAGCAGCCTCATTGAGGCGGGGGATGGCAGGGACAAGGGGAGGAGCCTGGGGGGTGGTTGGGGTGGTCTTCAGGGAGTGGTTTGTGGAAGTTACGAGAGGCTGAAGATGAAAACCAATGTTCAAAAACATTAATAATATGTGAGATTTCGGAACTTCACGGTGACATTACAGATGGTTCCAGTAGGGAACGGATTAGCGGGTGCCCACATCACTCATGACTCATCAGAAAAGAGGAAGATAAGACTAACGCTAACATTATTTTTTTGAAAACAACAACCAAATAACAGAAGCATGTCTTCTTAATAATTATAAACATAAGCATTATCCCACATCATCGCTTTTCACCACCATCACCATCATTTCTATAGTCATCATTGCTCTCAGATCCTTCACAAACATCTATAATTATCTTAAACATCTATATGTAACAGTTATATGTCATAACAATTTTGCACGTTATACATTATTGGGCACTCTCATACGCACATTTTTCTACTAATCAGATGGTGTCAATACCATAGATATGGGTAAGGGACAAAAAAAAAAAGAACAAAAAAAAAGTGAGGCAGCATGGTGAAATCAGGCGCTCATCAAAATAATGGGAGTAAAGAAACTGTTTTTTTTTCTGCAGGTTTGGGAATTTTTATCGAATTTTTGTTTCATGGCTCAACACCTTTCATGTCCATTAAAGAGCACATTTATATGTGTATATTACTGAAGTACATTGATTAAAGGCATGAAAGATGTAAATTTTCAGTTTCCACGGACTCTCAAACTATGGAAATAACTCAACTTTGGTGGCCATTTTCTAGCTAATTTTGCCTCTGAAACCAGGCGATCCCAATCTCTTTCAATCCACAATATCTCGACTTCTATTGAAGATACATGGGTATTTTTTTCAGTAAAAGCAAGGCAAATGAATAAGCTTTCATATGATGCCAATAACTCCACACCCCCAAAAACTAACGAGCGCCTGATTCCATCGCATTGTGAGCAAATAAAAATAAATAGCATTTGTATAGTACATATTACTACTTCACAGCAAGCTCTATGCGCTTTACAATCTATTTTATTACCCCAGCAGACCTGGTAGCATCCTGAAACAAACTCAACTGCTTTGGAAGCAGAAAGTGCACTTAAACATTAACATATTGAAAAGATCTTTTGCTGTCAGTGAATAAAAATGTACAGTGTTCCTAGAGGTTTTTTGAATACACCACCAAAAACAAAAGGTTTCCTTCAACTAGGCATCACTGGTGCAAATGTTATCTCAGCCTGTACTAAAAGGGATGACTTATCACTTTTAGTCCTCAAATACGGTCAAATTTGCTCTACTGGCTATTTATCCAAGACAATCACCTGCACAAATGACCTATTCCACTTTTCCCTTTAACTTTTTGAAACATCTGTACCAAAATATCGGTATGAATGCAATATGGCAAATACCCTGGGGGTACCGACATATCGGTATGACACAACCACCTAAACATGACGTGTGTTCGGCAGAAATAGAACCCAATTACAAAACAGTAGCATCAATATACACCAGCATAGTGACATTACAACCAAAAAAAGAAAAACTGTGCTAACGACACACAACACACAACATTTAAACAAAATAGACAGTATTGAAAAAATATGTCATCGTAACGCCATTCCTCTAAAGCAAATGTTGGGGACAGTGGTGCAAATTCTTAAACTCAAAGCTCAAATTCATCTTTTCATCAGAATGATTGAAACAAAAAGCAATGAAGGAAAATTAAGCACTGAACTCTATAGGCTTAAGCTCACAATCATCACATCTATCCTTTCGGCCTTAAACAATTCTGAAATGGTGATCTCACCTTCTCTATCACGGGGCTCCCATCAACCACATCCTCGCCATCTCCAGCTAGCTTCACTGCTTTGAGAAGCCCGGACATACGTGAATCAAACGAGTACTTGCCGCTGAAGTCGTAAAAAAGTTTTGAGCCCAGAATCAGCCCCAACCAACCGTCGGCGCGATATCCTCTCTGTACCACAAGCGGAATAATCTTCTTCCTCTGTTGAAAAGCGTACTCAGCCTCTGTGGGAGAGACAAGTGTCAGCTGAGAGAGGGAAAAGTCCACAAGAGAAGAAAAGGGGTAAGGAAATCTTCAAGTGCTGTGCATTAAGGTAGATTATGTACTGCAAAACTTCAGTAACACGTATTCTCTTGGGATCCAAGATTTTCAACACCTTATTTGTTTGTTTTAGTAATCTTTTAGCAAAAGTTTTACAACACTAGCAACACAATAAGGTCATATAAGTGACAAAGATAAGAGGTGTTACAAGAGCGTCACAAATACAAAAAAGGAGGAGAGATAAGGACGATAGATGTCTGAGAAGGAAAAAAGGAGCAAACCACACCACAGCACCTGCTACCCACCCACATCTTAATAACATTGCGTATTACATTAGATTACATACTGTAAAACCTTGGTATAATGTACTCTCTTTGGACCCAAGATTTTGAAAATCTCATTTCTTTGTTTGAGTTGAGAAGTACATCGACGCAATACCGCTGTAAGCTTACAAAGAGGCTAAATATTTTACTTGCTGAATCAAAAGCCTGATCAGTTACCCTACTGGTGTGAAAATATTATAAGTTTTTTAATAAATTAGAATTCAAATTTCAGAAGGACACCTTTTTAAATGGATACACTGACAAAAAATCTCTTCCTCACGAAACTGCTGTGAAAAAAAAAATGGTTATTTAATGCTGGGGAAAAAGTAAGACAGACAGACAAAAACAACAGAAGGAAAGTAAAAAAGTGGGACATATCAGTGTAGCCTTCAAACCACACATTTTGAGCATCTTAGTCAAGGTATGTATATGCCTACATAGAAAAAAAAAAAAAAATGGCACTTGTTGCTTCAGAATGTCAGCGTTAGAGCTGATGGTTCATTTATACCGTGTGCGTCATACCAAGGTTTTACTGTATTTGTATGTGCCCAATTCCTAATGATGTGCACGAGTCTGAGAGTAATGAGAGAGATGTAATGGAGTGAGTGTGCATGTGTGTGTGTGTGTGTGTGAATGTGTGTGAGCATGTGCCTGTGCATGTGTGCATGTGTGTGTGTATGTGTGTGTGTGTGTGTGTGTGTGTGTGTATGTGCGTGTGTGTGTGTGAGTGTGTGTGTGTGTGTGTGTGTGTGTGTGATTATTCTGGGTTTTTTCACTCCACTGAATGTATACATTTCTATCATACTATCTATTTTAATTGATTGTACTGTGCTCAGAGCTTGTTTCGTAATAGAACAGAGCACTGTATTATGCTATTTTTCATCCTCATTATTATCAACATCATTCCCCTACTGTTTCGTCATTCACCTAATTATTCTTCCCCAGAAAAGATAAACAATAAATTCCGTTATAATTTATGGTTTGTACTTCAAATAAACAATAGGCCTACCTAAAAATATCCAAGAAAAGTTATTCGATTAACAATTCTTTTGTAAAGACTTTACTGAATGTTTCTTTTTTTTTTTTTTTGGGTAAGTGTTTTACGTGGCTTGCAACTGAATAAGGTCATATGAGCGCGCAGGACACATTAAACTTTTTCAATTGGTAGGCAATTTTGAATTTTGCCCCGGTGGTGGCCGAAGCCTACTCTTATCGATTTTAGACCACTAAGGGATCTTTAACATGCACAACTTGCACACAGGCCCTCAGATATTTTTCGCCCTTGTCCGAGAAGGCTAGTTGTAGATCTTTCCTACAAGAAGATTAGGGGTGTGGCTAAAAGACAGCAGTAAGAAAGACAAAAGGAGTAGCAGTAGAAAGACTGCAGAGAGAGTCAGGAGCCTAGAGGAGGGGGCAAAGGATGTGAGGGGGTAGGGGCAGAAAGAGGAGACGAAAGCAGGCGATAGAACATTGCTAGAGAGGAGAAAGGAGACAATTTCAGAGAAGAAAATTTACGGTCGCTACCCGGATTCGAACCCAGGACCTTTGAAAGAGAGGCCAATACCTTAACCTCTATGCCACGAGAGCCCCCCTTTACTGAATGTCCTACACATTAAATGAAAGAATTTACAAAATCAAGGAGGCAGATTTTTATCTACTGTGCATGTCAGGGTCAACTAGGGTAGAGTGGGTAATAGCATTGTCCCAGCAAATAGAAAGAGATGCTCACCACAGGCACTCACACTAGTGAATCTCTGCTACAGAGGGGAGTGTTTTCTAAATAATATTCTTGAACATTCCAACTTACCAGCTCGTGTGTTGGGACTGTCCTTGTACTTCTGGGACATAGCGATGATCACGACAAACGAGTCCTCCACAGCCTTAGCCATGGCCTGTACACACACACACACAAGAAGGAACTCTTGAAATGATTCACCGAAAATAAGGCAGCATATCAAAAATGAGAGAATTCATATAGGTTTAATTCCCCTTTCAACACTTTACCGTTTTTCAAGAAGTGGAACCTCCAAATTTGACTGCCCATCTCCAATAGGACTGAGCATGAGAGACATGGGTAGAGAGCCTTAAAGCCTCCCTAAAACAACTCAAGTTCAGTGGGGTTTCAAACTAAGGCCATCTGCTTATCATGAAACTAACTAAGCTGACAGTGCACCCCCCCCCCTCCCCCCAATAAGGCTGCCTTTAGTTATATGGTTTTGTTACTACTGACATTTTAAAGTAAAGTAAGATTATAAAGATTGAGCAAAATTAATGGATTTTTTGTTCTGTTACAATTGACACTTTTTAGCCTATGGACCTGAGCATACACCTGACAATATATCTTTCTGCACACCAAGTGGACACCTTGGCATCACCTGTCACATTGGCTAGTTTTGTCCACTGGTGCCCCACTCTTTTCCTGAACAGGCCTACGTCTTCCCCGGTCTCTGCTTTGGTGTAACATTTCATCAAGTTGAAGACCACAGTCAGTCGGATTTTACTTTTTTAATGTACGATGGGAGTTTTCCCTTATTTCTCTTTGCCTCTATTTTGCATAGAAGTACAGTTACCATCAGATCTATTTTTAATAATTCATGTAGAAACAGTTCAGGGTAGGCTTACATAGGTGTCAATCTAGAAGCCCACCCAAAACAGCTCAGACACACAGGCACTGTTGACTGAGACGACCAAGGCTCAAGGGGTAAGATATTAGTCTGCATTAAGTCTTCTTCTCAATCTTTTCAACTGCACGGCATTTGATGACCGGTATCTATTACGAACTGGGCGGGCATGCTTTAGTTTCACTGTTGACTTAAAGTTTCTTCTGTAGTATTAATGGGGTGGGCCACATTTCATGTCCTAGAGCTCTGTGTGTTCTGCACTGCTGGAGGATGTGCTCCACAAGGTCACTGTGTCAAGTAAGTATAAGTCTAGTCCTTGGTATAAGTCAATTTTTTCCCTATATGGTACATAAACCTCTTTGGAAGCCCTTCAAATAATCACTTAAACATTTTTTAAACAATAAGGATCAAGCAAACTTATACATGCATACAACACAATAATGTAAAGGAATCCCAAATCTGACAAACACGAATTACCATCTTGAGGCAGCCAGTAAAAACTGTTCTAAAACCAAGGCAAAGATTGGTTGTTCATCTGGTTTTAGAACAGGACATACATAGAACAGAATAAGCCCGTTAATACTTCCCAGCTCACTCCACAATTCAAATTAGCTAAAAAGTGACATCCCAAGTTTTTCCTTTGTGCCCTTCATGCAGAAAAATACATTACATTCATGTGACCTGTCAAGCTGAAAAAGCATCAGCAAAAGCTCTCAGACCTACTTGGAGGGTTGAGCCACCCATATAGTCAATGTCCAGCCAGACGGGTATACCATGTGACCGCAGCTTATGGACAATCTTCTTGATGAGCTCCTGATGGCCCCACTGATAACTCATCATCGCATGACCTGGTAGGAGAGAGATGCAAACATAGTTAGCTTTTTATGGACAAAGTGGAAACAATGTTCGCCTCATAGCAGACCAAAGTTGTGGCCCATTTTGAACAATCATACACAAATAAAAACCAGAAACACGAATCTGCACATGTCATAGTATGAATATTATTGCTCGCCTTTTCAGATAAAGAAAACAAAATTGAAAAACCTGTGTGAATAACAAAGTTAAAGTGCCCATAAGCCTGTCCCCGTAGGATTATGCGATTGTGCGGTCGCCGCGGTTTTTCTCGCGTAATTCCGCATTATTTGCATATTTTGGGATTCTGCACGTTTTCTCACGTTTTTGTTTTTTTCATTATTTACAATAATAATATTTAGCTCCTCCCCGGTTGACTAAAGGGAAGTAATTACCGGAATAAGTCTCATTAAAACTTGATTATTTCCCTTGTTAAAATATCTTGGCTAGCCTATTGTAATTAATAGGTGAGGCATTTTGTTCCTTGAGCATGTTCAATTTTTCAATCCACCAAAAGTTGTTCTCATGTCTGCTGATGTTTCATGTTTGACAGGTGTCCCAGATTAAAGTGATGTGCCAGCATCAGCGGTGCAGATGTCTTCCTTTTGTTTTGTTTTGTTTTGTTTTTGTACATTTTTCTTTCCTCTATAGACCTACTGCTGAAAGTTACAGAGATTATATTTTTTGGTTGCTTTTTTTTTTTTTTTGACTGATGCGTATTGTTTTCTTTCCAAATACACAACAGATTACTGATACTGATACATACTGATTTCAATTTTTCTGTACATAAAACATGAAAATTCTTCTTGAAAAAGGGCAAAACATGTCGCGAATGGTGTTACGGTAACATGCATAAATTTTGCATAATTTTGCTTTTTTCTTGCATAATTTGGTTATCTAAATTTTCATAATTCTACGGGGACATTATTAAGCTTATAAAGCAGTGCGTCTTCAAGAGTTATAGAGTGATGAGAATGTGTGTCGTAGTTTGTTTTTTTAAGGGTGTTGAGCCTAAAACTAAAAAGACATAGGGACAAAAACTGCCCAACATCTGGGAAGATGTCGTTTTTGTTTCAATTTCATTATTTTGACGAGTGCACGATTTCACCATGAAGGTGCACACTTACCTCTGGTCACTACTGGCTGCTCCCCAGGTGGACTGGTCACTGGCTCCACACCGGCCTTGATGGTCGTCTCACCCTGGACTTTACAGATTTCCTCTCCTTTGCAATATAAAAGACATGTACATATTTAGTACTTAAAAAATAAAAAAAATAAATGTTTCACTCGAATGGTTTTCCACACCAGCCTACCATCAGTCATCTAATGCAGGGAAAAATCCCCCGACAAAAATAAATTACTGAGGGAAAGAAAAGAAGTAGATTCTACCTGTTGCACCCTCCAACAACCCGCTCACAGACTGTACCCAGTGAATAGTATAGTTTTATAGGGAAAATGGCAAACTAATATTATTGATATAATATATCCATGCATTTGTGGGTATCATAGTGCATATATGTGTTTGCATTCTGACGAGGTGTCTATGAGGTTAAGTTTATTTTTAATAAGAGTTTTACAGCACTTGCAACACAAAAAGGTCATATTAGGGCCAAAGGTCAGAGGTGTTGATAGAAAGCAACATACAATGAAAAGGAGGCCAGATAAGGGCAATAGATGTTTGATAGGAAGGAATAGGCCAACCATTCTACTGAAAAACATTGATTAAAGGTACAAAATATGTCATTTTAGCTATTGGAGTTACCAAACTTTGGCGGACATTTTCTTGCTAATTTCACTACTGATACCAGGCAATCTCACTTCCTTCAATCACAGATATCTTGAGTTCTATTCAAGATAAATATATATTTATTTCAAGGGGAGCAAGGCAAATAAATCAGCTTTCACATGATACCAAGTGCAAGACAAACGAACAAGCTATAAGATGTTACAAAAAATTCGGTAATCCCAAAAATTCACAAGCGCCTGTTTCACCGCATCGTGACACAATGATCTTGCTAGAACGAAAGTGTTGTCGTTTCTCTTCAACCAGACCAATGACTTGCTTTCTGAACAATCTCCTGTAGAGCTTAAAACAGAGTATCCCCTTCTTTTTTGGATCAAGTCCATCTACCCTCATCCGCTTTCATAGCAATTCCATCCACCCTCATCCGCTTTCATAGCAATACCATCCACCCTCATCCACTTTCATAGCAATACCGTCCACCCTCATCCACATTCACAGCAATACCACACAGGTGTCTTTCCACTTACCTATATGCTTATGAGTGTCCACTTTGAGCAGTTGCTCTCTCAGTGACCAGAGAATGCCCTGGCAGGAGTGAGAGATAGCACCTCTCTCCTCTGTGTACAGATGCTGGACAGTGTCCACTAAGTCTGGCTCGCTGACCATCTTCATTTTGTTCTCTTCGTCAAAGGACAAGGCCCACAGACAGCTAAGAGCCTCTGGAAGGTTCAGACAAGGTTCATAAACTCTTGATGAAAACAAGCTGTGAGAAAAGAAAACCTCTTCGGATCATGGATCCTGAAGAGGAGGGAGGAGCAGCTATGGCATGCTGCAGCCTGCAACGATATCTATTCTCCAACCGAGTAAGTAAGTAGGTGACATATCAGGTCATAATAATAGTTTCTCTGTCAATGTCCAACAATGACCAATGCATCAGCGAAGGAGAATATTTCTCCAGTTAAATAGAAGAATTAGAAGTAATGTAGGTTAAGATGACTTGTAGCTTCTGATGTAGTCGATATGAGAGAGAGAGAGATAGAGAGAGAGAGAGAGAGAGAGAGAGAGAGAGAGAGAGAGAAAG